CCTTATACACAAATGCATTACAGTAACAATTGTTTTACATGTCACACATCATTAGGTATTCCTTCTTCACTAAGCAGGAAATAACAACTGTGCTCAGTTGTCATTGGGACAGTCAGAGGCGTCCTGGATTCTCCAGTTTTAAAGATGGGCCACTAATTCATGGAACCCCACCATGAAGGAGATCTTTTAAAGAATTTAGGACAATTTTATAACAGTTGAGAAGTATCACATTCTACACAAGAGAGCTATGGAAGAGTTCTCAGTTAAAACATAAAATCCAGAGCTTGGTGTTTTTTTTTTTAAAAAAAAAATATTTTGCAGAACATTCCAAAGATGGAGCCTTTTAAAATTCTTTGCTTCAGCAAGATATTTTATTGTTTTAGGAATAAGGATTTTTGCTTTTATTTATAGAAATTGTATAGTTGGAATGAGTCCACGGATGCCTGCAACTGCCCAACTGCACTTAAAACAGGGATAGGCAACTAAATCCTCAGCTTCCAACTGTGTTCAATATGTCAGATTTTGTTGGCATTTTGAAAATTGCTGGAAGAAAAACAGCGGTCTAGTTTCCTCTCATTCTCATGCGGAAAACACAGCTAAAAGTGCAAAAGAATGTCTTCCGGTCTCTTCCTCCATATCCAGAAAATTCCCACTGAACCTGACTTAACATATCTTTCCCACTTTGCATCAGTTGAGAGTCAACATCTACCCAACTCATTATATGAAGGATTCTTGACCATGAAGGAATTGCCTACACCTGACTTAAAGAAAATGAGCTAATATCAGCATGTTTGGAGAAAGCAAAAGAAAATTCAATCCCGGTAGGGCTGTGTCATTTCAGAAGGCACGTCTTGTAATGGTGCTTTGGAATGACCTTGGGAGACGGGCCAGGGAAATGCTGCCTAAGGAGTGGTCAGATAGGAGGGACACAGGTACATAATGGATGGAGGAAAATGCTCAGAAGGGACTCCCAAAGTTCTTGGGCTGATGGCAGGAGAATTGTAGCTTTACCATAAATCATGATTAGCTTACCTGGCTAATTCCCCTCTGGTCTACCAGGTAAGGCTGATATACCTGTTTCCATCTCCTTGCCATTCTGAGCTAATGGACAAAATTAACATGTCATGGAAAATACTAAAACATATGAAGAACGGTTGCAGGAACTGGGTATGTCTAGTCTAATGAAAAGAAGGACTAGGGGAGACATGATAACAGACTTCCAATATCTCAGGGGCTTCCCCAAAGAAGAGGGAATCAACCTATTCTCCAAAGCACCTGAGGGCAGGACAAGAAGCAATGGGTGGAAACTAATCAAGGAGAGAAGCAACTTAGAACTAAGGAGAAATTTCCTGACAGAACAATTAATCAGTGGAACAACTTGCCTTCAGAAGTTGTGAATGCTCCAACACTGGAAGTTTTTAAGAAGATGTTGGATAACTATTTGTCTGAAGTGGTGTAGGGCTTCCTGACTAGGCAGGGGGTTGGACTAGAAGACCTCCAAGGTCCCTTCCAACTCTGTTATCCTGTTCTGTTCTATTCTATTCTAAAATGTTAGAGACTTATGCAGTACACTTCTTATTTAAAAAAAACACACACACGTATATTTGCATCCAGAAATGCAGAACATCCCATCTTAATGATTCTAGAAAAGTTTAGCCTCATCCCCCCACCCTCGAAATAAATATTAACCTATTCTTCTATATTTTTCAACAATGCATTGGTTGGACTGCAACTAACAGAAGTAGTGCTTTCACTCTAGTGCAGGGGTTCCCAACCTGGGATGCTTGCACCTCCTGGGGGTGCGAGACGATATTCCAGGGGGTGCGAGAAAAGTCCAGGTAATTTTTATTTATTTTTATTTATTATGCAATGGATTAACTTTGTTTTCATTTTAGAGTTAAGTATCGTTATTTAGTGGCCGTCACATACATAGCTGAAAAGATTCAATCCTACCATATATTTAACGCGTTCAGTAGTTCCTAAAGTCTAAATTTCAGGGGGTGCGAGGTTCGAGTGAAATTTCTTTAGGGGTGTGGGGCGAAAAAAAGGTTGGGAACCACTGCTCTAGTGAAAAGAATATTTGTTAATTTTGCACCTAACATATGGAATGAGTATAAAGACGTTATGCTAGCAAGATGTGTAGTTTGACCTATGTTTTTCTATGGGACTTTCGTGGTCACTCAATAAGGGTGATTCGGACATTATATAGATTTGTCAAGAGGCATCTTTATAGGAAGAGCAAGTGATTGTATTGGAAGAGCAAATACCAGAAGCCGAAGATTAATCTAGTTTAGCCCTGTACAAAGAAGCTTGGGAATGAGTAAGGGTTTATTTCTCCAGACTGGGCAGGGGAGGGAAAGAAAGAGGCTTAAGAAATCCGGAACTGTTAACGGTGTTTATTTTGTTCTTTTATTTTTACTGTGCTTGGGGTAGTTCTCACTTTTTTCCTCTTGTAAACAGTTTCCATATCACCAAATACATAGATATTTGTTGTAAAAATCCCTCTAATTTGGGAAGGACCTCGCCCAGAGTACAGGCTGATCGGAACAGGGAAAGTAAAGTTTATAGGAGTGGAAGACCAAAAAGAATTACAGCAGGAGAGAGAGGAAGTGTTTATCAAACAACGGAGGCCATTCTCTCTTCTAGCCAGATATAATTATCAATTCTTAAGCAGCAAAGGACAAAAGAGGAACTGTCTAGACTATCTCACTTACAAGATATTGATTGTCCCAGTGATAAACTGGTTAGTATAAGTGTATTTGGTTGGAAAGGTCATGAGTTTTAACACCTGGCAGAAAGCTATTCAACCTTGACATAAGTCACATTATTGCAGTGTTGCTGAAAAAGGCTTTCTAAGGCTCAGCTTTTCACCCCAAGGAGGTTTGCCTTTTGTTCTATGGAAGGAGCCCTGTTCAGAGCAAAAATTGCATTTATTTTATTCCTTCTGAAGAGTTCGATTACCATTTTTATAATAATACTCTCTTCTTTTTAAAGTAACCAATGCAGAGAGTATTCAATACACAGGAGGCAATTACTTGTTCTTGTACCTACTAGTGATGTAGTTTTAATAAATATGGTATTTAAAATGAATTACATTTAGATTGCTCTACTACATTCTTGACTGGGTCTTGACTGGGAAAGAGTAGGGTCTGTATAATATCAAAGGACATCAGCGAACCATAGATATGTGCACCAGGATAAGAAAACCTAGCCACTTCAACAGTAATAGATATTTAATATGATAGGCAGAGTTTTCCTCCAATAACATGTGGTGTTCTTTTCCAACAAACCGAAGTTCAGCCAGAAAAAAAAATTGCATGTAGAGATAGATGCTATCATTAATGAATCTGAGAATGGAAGCTGTTAGTGAAGAAAGAAAAACTTTCAGGCACCAATTTAAATAAATTATCCGATGCTTCATCTATCAACAGATCAATAAATAAATTTGACTAAAGGGAAATGCACTGAATTATGTACCAAAGCACAATGCAGCATTTAAAGCTAATGGCTTTGAATTATCGAGAACTTCAACCATTTATCAAAGTGCAAAGAAGCAATTATTTTGGAAATATTGTTCCTTTTTATTTATCACAAAGCCATTTCATTCCTTTTAAATATTGCTATTTTGGTTGCTTAAAGAAGGGCTTCTGGAATGATGGAAAGCAAGGAACACAGTGGTAAGGAGCAGATTAGATGATTAAGACTAGATTTTTGTTGTGTAGCAAAGACAAGTTTAGTATAACAATTCTACTTGGGAATCTAATGTATTCCTTTCTTTAGCAGCTTGCTATAAATATATGATAGATGCAGCAGCCAATAAGGACAATCTATGTATGCTTTAGGAACACAGATTTTATTCCATCTTTCAAATAAGCTCTCCATTCATTTCTCAATTGAGGTATGCCCTCGCCTCCTTCTAAAAGAAATTGCCATTTCTCCTAGGTTTACACAATCCCAGGAAAATGGGTGTTTGAATTGGTGGGGCCAGCCATGCTTCCATGTTCCACCCTACCAGGCCTCTTTTAACATAAATGGACAGGCACCATAGAATTATTCTTGCAACATAATGGAAAACAGTGTAGGAAACACATGTGGTTCAGCGAGGTGGCATGCAAAATAGATTGGCTTGGATCTAGAGAGAAGAAGATATGATGCTTTTGCTGCTTTTGTATCACCAAAACAAGAAAAGAGTTTTGTTTTGTTTTGTACTGAATGTGGGAAGAGTAACACTTGGTTGAACTCTTTGTATACTTGGACTTTCTCTTATCTTTCTTACACATCACAATTTGTAGTGAAGGATGATGGAAATATAATGTAGCAACATCTGTGCAACATTACTAGCCTTGAATGCCCACCTAGTGCTTACTGGGTTTATTTTGGGAACGGGAGTAGAAGGTAATCTAGTCTACCTTGTGAATGAGGTTATTTGAAAGGAGATCTGTTCTCCAATCCAAGACTTTTTGTGGAAAACTTCGTATCATCCAATTACTGGTTACTGAGTCCTTCTGTGTTCAACCACACAGCAGGAATAAATTGCAAAATGTGTATGTTAGTAATTAAAGAACATTTTTTTATTACACACCAAATGCATCTTTTTGCATTACATACAACTGCCTTAAAATGTGGAATAGTACCACTATTCCCTGTAATGTAAAGAAAGAATCTTGCTTAATGCACTGCTGGAATGAGCACTGAACTAGTCACCACAGAGGTTTACAGAAGAAGAAATTATTTGGCTAAAACTGTAGAAGGAAATTCATTATAATTTCCATCGTCTGGCCTTCATGAGATCTCGGATGAGGTTCTTCTGAAGACTGACCTCTTAATTGCCAACAGTCAAAGGGAATACAAGAGTGGTCCAAGAATTTTTCTTCATGTGGAGAAAAGCAGAAGCCGTCCCCTTTTCTCCTACAAGAAGGAAAACACCTTTTCTCTGGTTATCCAGGAGAATGTATGTAATGTATTGTAGATTGTATGTAATGTATGTAATGTAACTCCATATGTATGTAATGTATTGTAAATGCCATCAGGAATGTGTGCTTATAGTATTTTCTTAAAGCTTCTGATAACACTTGGTCCTTAAGTTAAATCTAGAGAGACAAAATTGGTTCCTTGGACTAGATTCAACTCTTCCCCTGGAGCAATCAAGAGCCCTGAATTTCTTAATGATTATGTTCATTAAGAAAACGATTGTTACTCACTTTTCTTCTTCCCAGCCTGTCAAGGGCAAAGAGAACACAGCCTTGGAAGAAGTAAAAGGTCAAACCAACCAACGCAACGAAAAAATGTCAGTAAGAACATACTAATCCCAATGTAGAATTAACCATTTTTTTATTTGTTTCTTTATTGCAGATAACACGATGCCGGTTTGCAGATGGCTGACAACAATTTTCTGGCATGAAGAGTAAAGCTACAAAGCACAAAACAATGGGGGAAAAATAAAATAAAAACCTACAAACAAATGAACTCGGGATAGAACAAGGGGGAAAAAAAAGTGAATTTTCATGGTGTCGAAGAATTCTTTATTTTTCCTCAAGTTTTCTTTTCTTAAAAAATAAACAAAAATAAACAAAAGGAACTAAGACATTCACAGGAACTATTTCTCTTCAGGTGACAGTACTCAAGCATGTTCTTTTATTACATTTAAACTGAAAAAAAAGAAAAGAAAAGAAAAACCGAATGAACATAGTGCTGAGTGAACTGGGCCACTGGTGATGATATTTGATGTACATCCAACTTTCCTTAAAATTCTCAATTTTTAATCCCTCTGGCTACTTACACCCTATGTGTTTGTAAAGAAACGAGTTCACCCTGCAGTATTTAGAGAATGGTTTGCAAATGTAACTTTTAATATCATATTTTATGGATATTGTACTATATATATTTAACTAGAATGGGTGTAACCTGGACTTTGAGAATCTTCTCCTTTGAGGCAAAGTGGTTTTCATTTGCTATCAAGAAGACTTTTCGATTATTTAATACTTGGGATTGTTTTACTGAACATTTAAGTGCAGAAAGCAAAACCAGCCATGGGCTATTCTCCTTAGAGAGGAGAATCCAAATAACAAACTGAAATTCCAAGGGGGTTATTTAAGTCTTATGTGTGTTTCATTTTTCCAAGCAAGTACAGTATAGAAATCAAACTTCTCCAGGGCCAATTTAACCCATTGCAGAAAAGTATTTTTTTTTAGTCCTGCTACCAAACATCCACTATAGCAGGGAGCTGGGATATCCCTAGTGTGTGTACCTGTTTTAAAACATACTGCCAGGCACTTCACACTTTATTTTCCTAGTTGTGCACTGAAAACAAAAAAAATAAAGCACGGAGTGGGGAGTAGCATTATGCTTACAAAATTGTAATGTGCAATTCAGCTTCCATTTCTTTTCTTTTTTTCCTTCCAAAAATGCTTACAGAATTATTCTCTGACTTTTTCTAGGGCCTCTGTTGGATATTTCCTTCTCTATCTTTTTTTTTTTCCTTAATCAGTTCAGACTGTAATCATGGGAAACAAAGCTAAGAGAATTAAGCTTATCTCTATCTTTAAAAAAAATAGTTCAGACACTAATCATAGGAAGCAAAGCTGAGAGAATTAAACCTAGCAAAATTACGCTCTCCATTAGCCCTGTGCCATTCGTATTTCCCTCCCGGTCTGTTTTTCTGCTGCTCATGATTGCTACCATTTCGTTTAACGCTAACTAATTTGCAGCTCTAAGCTTCTAGTTGATAGGATTGGAAGAGTTCCAATATTGGCACGTTTCTTTCTCTCCACCTCCCCAACAACTTCACCCCACCCCACCCCACCCTCCTCTCTGTCTGACAGTATATATCTCTCTATCCTCTGCATGTGCTGGTCTTTCTCCTCCTTACTTGCCCTGCCTGCCAATTCTTTCCTCAATCAGCTTCTCGCTGAGTTCCCACAAGGCAGCCGCATCCGTTCCGTTCTGTGCCTGTTGCGATGGCACGCAGCGACAGCAGTTGTTGAAATACATCCCTCCCAGGCCTTCCAGTTCTGCCGCCACAGCACAGTAGACAGTAGTGGCTGCTCCTTGTTGCTGTAATTAAAACAAAACAACACAAAAGAGAGTGAGGGGACATGTTGTGAACGCAAAGGTTAGAACCAGGCAGGCTTGACAAAACCCATGTGCTCATCAAGGGCAGATTAGCAACTTGGCCTGGATTCAGAACTGAGTCCAGAAGGGCCCTGCCCTGTGCCATCCATCTTATAATTAGTGGTGTCTAGCTAAGTGTGAGTGAATCCATCTTTTCTCACATGAGTAAGGATGCTCTTTTAAGTAGCAGCTCAATAAACGTAGCTGGATAATCACACGAATTCTAGCCTTTCCCTCCAATCAATTTGATGAAGTGTTTTTTTCCCCCCCCAGAAAGGAGCATGATTTAGAAGGGTAAGGTGGATAGCTGAATCCAGCCTCAGGGCCACTAAAGTTGATCGTCTGCTCCTATGAGTGACACACAGGTTTGTTAGCATTTGAGGTTAAAAATGAATGTAATTTGAACAGCTTGAAGATGTGTACAAATGTTTTTGAGGGCCCTCTTTTCTCTCTGCTTAGGGTTGTTTTCATTCAACTTGTGAACCAAAGCTTGAAGATTGTGAGTTTGCGAGTTGTTTGGGTGGCTAAACTTGCGAAATCAGCTCCGGCAAAAAGAGATAGAGGGAAAAAACAAAACAAATAAGACTCTCTATGGCTGTCCTTTGCAGTGATGCACAGTAGGAATATACTTCCAGGTACAGATTATGAAGTGCATAGACATTGAGGTGTCAATGGAGATAATTTCAGAAGATGCACAGCCTGTGTTTGTTGCAGATTCACCAGCAAAGATCTTTCTTGCCCCATGAATAAACATTGCTGAAATGAAGAGTAGGGTGGGGAAACTACATCAGGAATTCCATGACAGCAACTGGGGCTAGGAGAAGATACCAACTCCTGTCCTAGGAAGGAAGGAAATATGCCACCTTCCTTCTAAATGGGTTGGATTCCTTTGACTTGGCCATCCAAAGTGTCAAACGTTGCCCCAGATATTTTTACATTGAAAGGAATGACCCCATTTGCATGTCTCTTGTAAACTTTACTAGGACAATTGATTTGGAGAAAGAATTATAAGTTAGATCAAATCCCAAATATCCTTTGGGATTTTTTTGCTCAAGTACGTAACTGACTGCTCTCTGATTTGTTATTCTAAATAAACTTAGAGATGTCCACCATGTCAGTGGCATAGAATAAAATTGGAAATGTTGCTAAAAATATCTATGTGCATGCACACACATATATAAATTGCCAATGGAGTCTTAGCTGATGGAAAAGGATCTCTCCTAACTAAAGTCCATTCATTGGGGAATGATATGATGGTGCTCATCTAAAGGTCTAACTTGTTAGCAAATAGCTAAAGTGGACTTTTGGGCTTTAAGGTATGGACTTAAAACTAGTTCTGGAAGACTCTATTTATGACACAGTGGGAAAAAAAATATTAAATTAGAGTGGAGCTTCAATTGTCTGATTGGGGGAAAAGATGGAGATTTACTTTGTAATCTATTTAAAGACCCGTGGCTACTTATATTCCAATAAGAAGTTTTAAATCTAGAATCTGGCAGGTTATTATTTTCAGTGAAAGATACTTTTTTTGTCTTGTTTCCTTGTCTGGAAATATGATTTTTTCTAAGAGGAGAAACAAAAGAGCTTGGTTAAACTATCTACTATTCTTTTTGTGAGAATAGTATGACATCAAAAACATTGGTTTATGTTACTCATAAACCAATACAGAAACTCTCTGTTTTAGTTAGACTTTCAGTCTAACTAAATAATTTTATACCATAAATATCTTACATTATAGATCAATGTAAAGAATACTTGTCATTTCCATTGTGATTTCTAAATATTTGTTTCCCTAAAGGTAGAAGAAAGATAATACTAACTATGCAAAATATTAATTTTTCCCCTTCTGCCAAACTACATATTATCCACATTTCTGAAAAGTCTGACTCCAATTATTAAATTAGGAGGGAAGTTACTTATCTGTTATTTATGCTAGTGTGAACATAGTTCTTTAATATATATTGGGTGGAAGTAAGGATGAAAAATAAAAACAATATTATTTATAATATTCATAACAATGCCAGCAGAAGGAGAAGAAAAGCCCATTGTGAATTAATTGTATGCTTTAAACACCCTTCCTCATTACATACATCACTTATGGCTCAGGCTATGACCCAACTAAATTGAATGTTTGTCAAATAATCACAGGCATTTTAATTAGTGCTGTCACTGAATTAAAGGAATTTGAGTTGTGTAATTGGATGAGGTTTAGTCAATTGGCTGCCTTTGTATAAATTTGCATAACCTAATTTGTGCATGTGTCTACTTACATAAGACCAACAGAACTGAAGGAAGCCCTATTTTCTTTTGCTAGAGCTTTTTCCAACATGATCTGTTCAGTCTTGCTTTCTTGGTGGAATGAACTGATCATACTTCCACTTCTTACAAGGCGAGGAGATTCCTGCGAATGGGGTGCTAAAGAAACAGCTTTCAATTTCTATATCAGGGTCTAACTCAGTTGCATGTGTGGAAGCAGCTGGAAAATGGCAAAAGTCCAGTTTAAAGAGCTAAGGGGAATTCCTTTTTGTAAACAAACCCAATTAAAAAGTGGCATTTCATTAAAAAAAAACCAACTTGCTTGGACGTTCTGAAGACTTGATTTGAACGACGTTAGTTTTGATCTGTTCAGTTCGCTGGTTATGTTCACAAATAGTGCAGCATTTCATGAGAAGAAGTGGAATACAGAAGATGTACATTTGTTTTGACTGTGCTGCTTTATTTACAAAGTTGGAAAGGTCATAGGTGGCCCTCTAGGTGATTAAAAAGCCCATCCTCAGCTCCCCTACTTGTTCTCTCAAGAAAGTCTAATCTAGTAGATATTGCTGTTAATGTTCTGTTAATGTTCATGTTCTGGAACACTGCTATTTTAGGAAAATTGCAAGACATTTAAAATTGTGTTTTGTAGTTCTAGGATCACATGTTTTCTCTCCTCCTCCCTCCAAGATTGGTGGGCAGGGCTCTGATACTGGATCCTCATCTTTCTGTCAACTTCAGGGATTGATGGAAAAGGTAGAATAGGAGAGATTGTCAATGTCCTATCTTCAGAGTTAAACTTAGAATTCTACTAAATTAGATAAAGTCTTTCATATTGTTTGCAAGGGGTAAGGAATAATACAAATAAATTGACTTCAGTTTCCAGTGTTACAGGGATGGTCACTTGCCCACACAAGTCTAATCTCCAAGCCTGACCTTTGACTCCAGACAAGATCTTCCATCTTAAATTACTTAGAAATAGAGACGAGGGTGAACCTCATCACTTCACGGGGTTGAACTGCTGACTATTAAGGAATGATTATTACTTCTTGTAGACTGTTTTTTCCTGGCTGTTATTTATGTTATTTATCACAGGTGGCTGGCTATAGAAACTCAATAAATAAAGCAATCAATTCAAATATGTGAGAATGCTCAATTTGGAATATAAGCAAATGTTCCTTTGATTTTTCTCCCTTCTCCACGGGTCCCCTTATAGTTTTTCAAAGACAGTCCTTAGCTTATCTGGGGTTCCTGGAATAATTTATACCATCTGCCTGCTTGTTCCATTTTTGTATTATATAAATGATTTTGAAACACCCATGGATATTTTCTGGATGAATATGTAGATAATTTATTTTTCCTATAGATGGCAAGCGTTTGTAGGACTTACATGGGGCATAACTCTAGAATCCCTCATCCAAGAAGAAAGGAGAAAGAAGAAGTTACGGTTAAACTGAGTGATTACAGGTAGTCCTTGACTTATGACCACAACTGAATCCAACATTTATGTTGTTATGTGAGACAGTTATGAAGTAACGTTTGTCCCATTTTATGACCTTTCTTGCCAGTTGTTGTGGTTGCCAAGTTAATAACATAGTTGTTACGTGAATTTGGTTTCTCCATTGAATTTGCTTGGCAGAAGGTCACCAAAAGTGATCACATGACCAAGGGGAGACAGCAATGGCCATAAATATGAACCAGTTGCCAAGCATCTGAATTTTGATCACATGACCATGGGGATGCTGCAAATGGTCGTAAGTTTGAAAAATGGCCATAAGTCACTTTTTCAGTGCCGTTGTAACTTTGAATGAGTCACTAAGTCAAGCACTACGTGTATTCAATGGGCAAGAAGATATGGGGAGAGTTGAGGAATGATCTCAAACAGCCAAGGAAGCTAGTTAAGATTCCTGCCCTTTCAATGTTTTTGAAAGGTATTAGAGCCTCATTCGGTATAGAATATTGGTAGCTGGTTACTACTGCACAGGCATTTTGGGTGAGGTGGATAATTGCAATCAATTAAGCAATGAATACAAATTAATATTGAACTGTCTTAATGCTACAGGGGAAGAGGGCATTTTCATAGGCACACATGGTTTTTAAAATCTCATTATTATAAGTATGCAGCCATTAAGTATCTAATGTAGTCTAGTGCTCCTGATGGAAAGACATTATAGGCCTAAATGTTTAGTTTTCAGACCTTGCTGTTTTTGAAGTGTTTATGTTTGCTAAAATTAGCATCCAGCCCTAAAACATACCAGCCCCATACACACAAAGGAAAGGAAAGGAAGGAAGGAAAGGAAACTTTAAATGACATTGAAAGTTCAAAATGAACTGTAATCAATATATTTTGAAAAATCATTATGGCATTTGTATTACTGCATGCCATCACCGATATGAGTCTCTTTCCTCTGTTAAAATAAAACATAATTTGCTGGCACTTTAAGGACCATTAATGTTTTGGGCATCAGTTGTGTGTCAGGAACTCAGTTTGTATACCTGTGTTGTAGAAATGTTTAGAGTTATAGATGTGTTGAAAGGCTGGGTTTTTATTTATAAAAGTGCAAAGTTCCTCTAGCAGAAAGTAATTTGATTTCATTTTAGTTACCTTTGTCTCATTAAAATGCATTAGGGAGCTGACTGATAAGATATAGCTTGATCTGGAATTTTGTTATGTTTGGTAAGCCGAGGTG